TTTTGTTCGGCCTCTGTTAATCGCCTTGAAAAGAAAGCACAGGGCAACAACTGTTTTGAAGGATTGCCATACTGGGACAGAACTGCTCCCACCCCAGTCTCAGAAGCATCCACCTCCACTACAAACTGTTTACAAGGATCTGGCTGGATAAGAACTGGTGGGGAGGCGAACAACTGTTTTAATGCATTGAAAGCAGCAGCTGCTTCTGGTGACCACACAAATGGTTGATTGGTGGATGTGAGTTTGGTCAGTGGTTGGACCACTAGACTGTAGTCCTTGATAAACTTGCGGTAAAAATTGGCAAAACCCAGGAAACGCTGGAGATGTTTACGGGTCTTGGGTTCTGGCCACTCCACCACTGCTTTTGTCTTAGCTGGGTCTGATCTAATCTGTCCCTCTCCAATAATAAAACCCAGGAAATGCACGGTTGAACAATGAAAGTCGCATTCCTCTGCCTTGACAAATAGTTTGTTCTCCAGCAGTCGTTGGAGAACTTGCCTAACATGACTGACATGCTCCTCCTTGGTCTTGGAGAAGATTAATATGTCGTCTAGGTAGACAAACACAAAATGGTTCAGGAAGTCCCTGAGGACATCATTCACTAGAGCCTGGAAAACTGCTGGGGCATTAGTTAGACCAAACGGCATCACCAAATACTCAAAATGGCCTACAGGGGTCTTAAAGGCAGTTTTCCATTCATCCCCATCACGGACGCGCACCAAATAATATGCATTACGCAAATCTAGTTTAGAAAAAATAGTTGCACCGTGAAGCAGTTCAAATGCTGAGGACATGAGGGGTAACGGATACTTGTTTTTAATGGTAATGTCATTCAGGGCCCGATAATCAATACAAGGACATAAGGTGCCATCCTTTTTGCCAACAAAGAACCCTGCCCCTAAAGGGGATGAAGAGCGGCGAATAAGACCGGCCACCAGGGAATCATTTATGTAACTCTCCAGAGCCCCTAGTTCCTGTTTAGAGAGATGGTACAGGCGACTGGAAGGGAGTGGGGCATCTGGGAAAAGGTCAATGGAGCAATCATATGGTCTATGTGGGGGCAGTGTCTGGGCTTGGGTCTTGCTAAATATATTCAGATATTCAGATATTCAGAAGGAACCTGTGACAAATCCGGGGTTTCTACAACCTCGTCTTTGGTGTCAGATTTGGGTAGGGCAGAGCGAAGGCAATTGCCTGAACAAAACGAACTCCAACTAACTATCCTCCCCATAGACCAATCTATATGAGGGTTATGGAGAACCAGCCAGGGGTGTCCCAACACAATACTAAAACTGGAGTTGGGAATAATCTTAAATTGGATTAACTCCCTGTGATTACCCGAGGTTACTGTCAAAACTGGGACTGTTTGGTGGGAAACACAAAACAAAAGTTTGCCATTTAAACCTTTTGCTGACAATGGCGGACTGACAGGTTCAATGGGAATATTCAGCTGCTTTGCCAATTCAGCATCAATAAAACTGTCTTCTGCCCCAGAGTCTATCAAGGCAGCTAGAGAATGGGAAGAGGAGTCAAGACACAGTTTAACTTTTACCTGAAGACGATTTGAAGATTGGGGGAACTCATTATTGCTCATTAGACTCCCCACTTCTAATGAGCGCTGTCTTTTGGCCGCTGAGGACAGCTGGTTACTCTGTGGCCAGGCTTGCCACAATAGAGACAGTCTCCAGATTGGAGTCGCCTCAGTCTTTCTGCAGCTGATCAATGAACTGCCTCAGGGGTAGGCGGCAGTTCAGGGGAAGTGACAGAGGGGGCGCTGTGGGCCCCAATGACTGGTTGGACAGACCGAGAAACAGGAAGTCGCCCGCTCCGCTCTCTGCGTCTCTCACGCTGCCTGTTGTCTAGTCGGATTGATAAGGTAATTAGAGAGTTAAGATCGGCTGCTTCTTCTTTGAGGGCGAGTTCATCCTTGAAGGCTTCATTTAGGGCGTTATAATATACTCCTCTGAGAGATCTGTCGTTCCATCCGGACTCGGCTGCCACAGTGCGGAAATCCACAGAAAACTCTGCAGTACGTCGGGGACCTTGGCGGAGCTTTAATAGACGCCTTGACGCATCTCCAGCATGGTCAGGATGATCAAACACTCGGCTTATTTCGGAGGAGAACTGAGCAAAGGTGAGAGATGTTAGAGGGTTGGCGGAAGAGAAAGCAAGCGCCCATGCTAGAGCCTGTTCCCGCAGCAAACCCATAACATAATATATTCTTGAAAGGTCGGATGCAAAAGCCGAGGGTTGCTGGCTGAAGACCATTTGGCACTGTAGCAGGAAGCCTCGGCATTTGGAGAGCTCACCAGAAAATGGAGGTGGATCGGGAACATACGCTCCGCTGTGGTTCACAGGTAGGGCTGCAGCTTGGGAAAAATCCGAAGGAGAAGCCGGTTGTGGCTGAGGAACCTCGGATGCTGGAGCCTGGGGGACTAGAGGCGGTTGTGGAGCTGCAACAGAGGTAAGCAAAGATGTGAGGTGTGCTACCTGTGCCGTCAACTGTGCGAGCTCCATGTGAATGGTCTGGCTTGCTGTCTCCAGTCCAGTAAGCCTGTGCTCGCTCTGTCCCAAAGCTCAGCCGGGTCCATGTTGTCTGGTCAGATTGTACTGTCACGCTCTACAGGCACAGATGGACAAACAGAGCAGTTGGCACAGTTAGAAGGTTTATTTTACTCTAGGTCAGACAGGCAAGGGTCAGATCCGTGAAACCAGTCAGAGTTTGGGGGGGCAATCCTTGAATCTGTGGTCGGGCAGGCAGGAGGTCGTCACCAGGGAGTCCAAGATAACAAACGAGGATGAGGGTCCAGATAATCAGACGAGACACTGGGGGAAGAAAATAGGCAGGTTTAGGAGAGGGAACAAACTTGGCTTAGTCAAAACTAGACTTGAGCAGACAGATGGCCTGAGAGTGTTTACCACTAGGGGTTAGACAACAATCTGACGGCGAGCAGGTGGAGGCTCCGTCCTTATATTGGGTCCACTGCTGATCAGGGAATGACCTGCAGGTGTGAGGGTCACAGCAGCTGATGTGACACTGACACTTAAGGACAATTTAGAAGGCCAATTAACCTTTTAGTTAAATAAATGTAACAGTTTTTTGTTTTGTTATTTTTTTTACCATTAGAGAACTGACGCATGCAGGGAGGACATACAAAACATGCAAACTCCAGAAGACCCCAGGCCAGGAATCGAACCTGAGTGACTCAGCTTATTTTTTTTTTTTTTGCTCCCTTTAGCTTTAACAAGACTCTTTGTTGCATCAAAAAAGTCAAAAGGAAAAATATTTTTTTTTTCCATTTTATTCTTTTGTTGATTTGTGTGTAGATATGACTTATAACCCCATATATGGAAGAGAGAACCCAAATGGTAATTCTTTTAATTTTTAGGAAAAACACATTTTTAATGATTAGAAAAAAAGCCATATCAATCAATGGCTTCATTAGAAAGGTAGAATTGGGACAGGTTGCTATTTTCAATCTACAACCACTAGAGGGAACTGTTACAATTGTAGCACACAGGCCTGTGACATTTGCAATACATTTTTTCTTAAACATAAAGCTGGCTTGATGTACCTATTTGTGTAATAGAAATATCAGAAATAAATCTATAATTCTTTATTTTGACACAATATTCATGTTTTACTGCTTAACTGTATTCATTAAAATAATATAACCTATAGTTTTATATAATTTTATTAGCTTATTTCCTTATTAACTGCAAAGCTTAAAGGTAATATGCTAAAATGGCTAAAGTAGTCTAAAGGTCACTATCCAGTCTTAAATAAATCTACTAATTAATTTCACAATTCTAGGCAAACAACTCTAACTTGCATGAGAGGGTTAAGCTTTAACCTGAGACTGTGTTCCTGAGACTGTGTTCCTCCACACATATCTACTGATGTTTGTAATTCTGTTTTCCTTGTACTTTTTGACTTTAAAACACTTGATCGTGGTATCTTAGTTTCACTGTTTTATATTAGAGATGATACCTTTGAGTTTTTCTGACTTTTGTAATGACAGAAGAACAGCAGCACAAATAACTGTGTTGTCCACAGTGACTTTTGGCTGTGGGATACCTGAGAGGCATCTCTCCGTCTCTCTGGGTATCTATCGGATATTTCTCTCTGTCTAAGTTGGGTTCCATTTTAGGAAACCCCAAAATTGTCACGCTGATGATTGTCAATTCAACCTTCCAATGAACAAACATGATCCTCACTCTGTTCAATCTTTGCTGAGATAAAGACTGAGGTTCTATTTTCTGCCTTGGGCCTTGGGTTGCCCTCCATGGAGACCTTGGCTGTTTGACACTATATTTAAATTTAACTGTTACCAGTCTGGGAGGCGACCTTAAATGTGATTCACTAATCTGCTCTGTCACAGAGAGAAGCTTTTATAAACTATGATAAAATGTGACAATGAAGAATAATGTCTCCTAACTCTATGCTGCTGTTGATTATTGTACTTTATTTCCAGTCAGACAGGTTTTGCTATCTTGCTTTCAGCTTGTCAAAAATGAACCTTCTCTACTTTTAACTTAATAAAACTTGTAAAAACCTATCAGTCTTATTCTGGCTGCTTTAAACTGGCTGCCTATTTGTTACATAATTGATCTAAAAGGGATATTATTTGTTTTTAAATGTCTCAGACTTGTTTAACCCACAGTCTGCTTCGGGGTCTCTAAGGTCACGGGACCAGCTGCTCTTGATTCTTTCAAAGATGAGACTTAAGCACAGAGATGATGGAGCTTTCATGGTCATGGCCCCCAAACTATGAAACATTTGCCTCTTTGTATTGGGCAGGATTTTCTGCTTTATTTGTATCCTTTTGAAAGACTGATCTTTTCTCCATAGTGTTTAACTGCCAGAGTTTAATTCCTATTTTCTCATTTTGTTTATTCTCTTACAGCACTTTGATCAACCTTTTCAAATTGGCTTCATAAATTGAACGAAACTGATTAGGGATAGCTCTCCTAACAATGTTTGTCCCTCTTCTTCACAGGGTAAGTTGGTGAAGTACTTCAGCCGCCAGCTGTCCTGCAAGTGCAAAGTGGCCTTAGAAGAGCGCAGTGCAGAGCTGGAGGACTTCCCTCGCCTCGACCACTGGTTCCGCATTGTTAATCTAAGGAAGGAGGTGGCTGAGGTGACAGCTGACTCTTTCGGGTTTCATCTTTTCAGCTATTTGTTTCTCCCTTAAAGTTGTTGAAATAAAGAGACCAATTAAAAGCTTCACAGAGAGCGAGGGGGAAAGTTTGAGGAAACACTACCCCTCCATCTGAATTGTGCAAGTTTTACAACCTCCTGCTCCTTTGAGAACATTATCCTGGGTAGGAAATAAAACTCTGGACTGCTGTGATGAATCCATACAGCTTTTAGCATTACAGGCATTGTTACACGATGGACTCAGAGATGAATGGTGCTTTTAAAATTGGGACTACAGCCTTCAGAAAAACAACTATAAAAAATAAATGTAGCAAATGGCTAAAGCTATCCTTAAAGTTAAGCTCAGAACATATGAAATCGTGCACATTTGCATGTTACACATAGTACACAAAGAAATATTGTATTGTCATAAAAGTGAGTCGGACTGTGCCTATAGTCTTGTCACACAGAGGATTGTGTGTAACGGTAGCTCCTAGCTGCTGATAGGGCTATCAGAAGGTTGCTATGCTAAACTAGAAAGCGTCCTTCTTTTTCTTCCTACCTTCTTTCTTAATGCCAGCACTATTCAGACAGCACTTATCATGGAGACGCTGGCCCACTATTGCACTATTTGGATGGACCATATGAACCTGCATACTGCTTTCCTTCAGACTTAATCATTTGCTGGATATCTTGCAACCCTTCTGCATTTTGTACATTCCTACCATGGGCGTAGGTTTGCATAGGGACCATAGGGACATGTCCCTACCAAAATTTTGAACCGTCCTAATTTTCCCGACCAATAATTGGATGTGAGCAACATGTTTATAATTTACAGCAGTAGTTGTTGCAGCAGTGGCTTCTTTTCCTCTCGCAGCTCCTCTGCCTGGTCTCTCCTGTCCCTTTCACGTAGCAGCGCATGGAACTGTGCTGCGCTGTTTAACTCCACTCTCATTGGTTGTTCTGCCTTAGGTTCCGCCTTCTCTCTCTCTGATTGGCTGTTTTCTAGTCCGCGTGTGCTTGGAGCACAAAATTGAAAACTTATTCACACTAGAATGCAGCGGTTACTACAATTAATATTAGGCTACAAAACTAGTCCCAATAAAAAAAATGAATATCATGTATACTAAAAAACAAAAACCTTTTTTTTTCTTTTATAAAACGAAATATTCTGAGTCAGCCAGGAGTTCTGAAGACTGCTGGAAAAATGGGCAAATAAAGGCTGTAAGCATCAACATTTCTGATTCTTATCCACAGCCAACTAAGAAAGAAAATGTGAAGGTTTCCTTTTCACCGATATATAGTTGCTATTACTGTTTTAATTTTTTGATGACTCTTTGAGGAAGTTCAGGTATAACTATTAGCAGGTGTTATTTCTTTTATAGAGTATAACAAGAAGAAATGGCGTCTAAACATCTGCTATTTTTCGTTTAAAAAGCATAATTAGGGTTCCACATAATAATAGTAATTTAATTGACTATTTATACTTCTAGAAATAGGATAAAGACAATAGCAAACAGAGGAAGAATATTAACATTCATTTTATCTTACATAGATTTCCACACAGTCTATAAGTAAATTAGTATAAAAATTAATGTCTGGTAAAAATGCTTGAATCTGGCTGTTTATATATATATATATTTATATATTTATATATATAAATAAACACATTTTACATTTATATTATGTTTTAGAGTCTCTATACTCCAGTTAATGATGAATCACATTCTATCACATATTAGTTATTGAAATAATCAATTAATACAAATAATTTTTTCAGCCCCAGATAAAATACCTGAATTGGGCTACACAGAGTAACTACAGCCCAGATGTTCAACTTTTATAGTGAAGTTAATATTTTAATGAATGTATTATTTTGCTTGATACAGAGAGAGAATAGTAGGTAAAATATAAGAGTGGGGTTTAACTCTGCATAATTCTAAATTTTCAGAAGAAAATACTGTATTTACCTTCTGTCTTAATCATTCAAATGAAAGCATTTTCAAAGTGGAAAACAGTCCTAATTCCACATTCATCAGAGCCGGTGATACTTCAAACTTTAATAAACAGCATCTAATGAGTGTAGTGCTTATAAAATTTTTATTAATGTAGCAAAATTATGCTTTTCTCTTTTAACAATGAATTCCTCTTATCAGTACGGATGCTCACATCGAGCATAAAAAAGGGCATGCATATTGCATAGGACCAATGACACCAGACCAATAGTGTCCCTACCAAAGTTCAAATCAAACCTACGCCCTTGATTCCTACTGTAATAAGATGGTAGGACAAGGCTGTCTAAGCCATTCTGTGCTTTTCAGACATTATCGATTTAAAAGTCTATGAATTTATAAGATTTTTTTTCATTAATAGAATACTTTGAATGTATAAAAGGGAAAGAAAGTAAATCCAAACTACGCCTACATGACTGTTTTATGGTTTTGAAGTCTCTACTATTGTGTTGTAGGCTTTTATAAATTAAATCATGTAAAATGCCCTAAATTATTCATACCTAAGGCAGATTTAACTAAAAATGTCTTTCTGATTGGAAATGAGCCAGACCTCCTTTAATCTAAGATACGGTAATAAACAAGGAGTATCAGTTTTGCATTTCATATTTTTTTTCTTAAATATTTTTGCATGTTTGCACTTTTACAAATATCATCCATGATAGTGAACCCAAGTGTTTTAGGGTCTTTTCTTATGAGATTCAAGTTAAAAGCCAAGCTTGACTCCTCCAAAACTTTAAGGTTATCCCAATTAATGTTGTTAAAATCAAAAGATTACTAAACCTGCCAGGGGTATGGATTATTCTGGGCTGTAGATTTTTATTATTTTTTTTTTATCTTTGAAAAATATAATCACTCTGATCCCTGAAATAGTAGTTTTTACTAAAAACTGCAAATAAGCAGGTTAAAATAGTAAAAAAAAAAAGAGCATGTCTTATCATTTATTAAGTCTCTTTAACTATTGTTTTGTTCTTTCCAGCCCTGGCAGCCTTCTGTTTTCTATGCAAATGAATGTAAGGCAGTCATTTTACATGAAAAAACTAAGATTATAAGGTTCCTAACAGAATCAACCAGCTTTTCAAGTTTTGGTTACATAGGAGAACAAATAGCCTCATAACTCTTTTTTGGGAATTAAAAAATGTTGTCCTTTTTTCCTAATTTTTGTAGTTTTCCTATACATCAATAGCACCATGTGCTTTATGTGTGCTTTATAGGAGATGAATGCAGGCGAGGTGACTTTAGAAGGCCTGTTGGAGATGAGTGAAGATCAAGTGTGTGAGCTGTTGCAGAAGTTTGGTGCCAATGAAGAAGAATGCGCCCGACTAAACGCCTCCCTCTCCTGCCTCAAGAAAGCTCACCAACTCGGTAAGAGTATCTACTGACACAGAGATACACAACCATGGCAGTAAAACAGCTATTTGTGATGGTTACAAAAATCTTTATATATTTTTTTTGGTCTTCTTATTTTATTTCTGGAAGTGACATGGAATATAACATAATTAATCGGGAAATTCAGATGTTGATAGCAGAGCAAAAAGGCAAATTAAAGCAAAAAGGTTCACATGTCATGAAAAAACTTTGTAAAAAGTTTGAGCAATAAAACAGAATTGGCTGTACAATAAGGAAATATCAATATGCAAGACAATGATGTGATAAAAACTGAGCAAAACACTTCAACCTGAAGACTATTTTGGTATCAGTATAAGTAAACAGAATGCAGAATAGAGAAGACAGATAACACAAAATGACATAAATAGTATTTCTTCATCAGGAAAATATTTTTTTTCACCACTGCTCCAAATGAATTAGTTTGGTATTGTTACAAATTTTTAAAGGACAACCTTATATAAAAATAATCACTTATGACGATCAGTTTTATTGTTATAGGTTAAAATTTATTTCGTTTAATCAAATAGAATGTTGGCAGCCAGTAAATTTAATTTGTGATGCAAAAGTGATGCGACCTTCATCCAAATCTTTAAATAGGAAAAGTCATTTAAAAAAAATGCCTATCACTAATTAGAGTTTATGTAAACATTTAAAATGTAAAAAACAAACAAAATAAAACAAAAACTGAGGTAAAACAAAAGAAACAAAATATGAAAATGAAAAGTTTTAAGGATTATGGTCCAAAAACCTTGATTTTTCAACATCCTACCACTTATATTCACTGTGGGTGACTTCTAAGGTTGTGTTCATAATCAATGAACTAATAGCTTCTTTAAGTATAAATTCAGTATATTGTTTTTTCTTTTTTTTCCCAGAGGGAATGGTTATTAATAATAACCTCAAGCACCAGCAGAAGTAGGTTGTAATAAAGTAAGACTGACATTAATATATTTTACTTAAGTAAAAGTTAAAAAGAGCTGTCCAAAAAATAACAGTATTTGGTTAGAAACAGTGAAACAGTATTTGGTTAGAAACAGTGAAACAGTATTTGGTTAGAAGGGCATTTCAATTACTAAGTAGCTGATCATAACATTTGGTCAAACATTTTAAAATGTTATTAGACAGAAAAAAAAAAAAAACTTCTGTCCACATTCTGGTATTTTATTGACTAAAATTCAAAGGGATACAAATAAATACTAGTAAAAATAACAAATTCAGACCAGAAAAACACTTTCCCAAATCCTTCCTAAACAAAACCCTTCCGAAATGAATACTCGAAGTAGGTCATATACAGCATACTGTATGTCAGACGTACCTCTGGTAACAGTTTGTACCTTTTGCTGTGTATTTACCTTGCCTCCAACTACAAGGAAATGCTTAGCAGATGGAAAATATTAAAACATCCAAGTTTATGTTCAATCAAAACTGTGTTTCTGGTGTCTTTTTGTTAAATTAAGCTTTTTCTTCACTCGGTAAAATTATTTCCACTGGAGGGGAAGCTAGAAATTGTACTACTTACATCTTAGTAATATCCCTGATTTAAAATTCAAAGGTAAGGTGCAGTAAAAATACTCCTAAAACTAAATGTTTTTCAGAAAGTCACTGAAGTAAATATAACATATGCACATCTGTGCTGCAGTTGCTTTCGTTCAGTTACTGAACCAAATTTTTTTATACACCCTGTGTGTACAAAATGACAACAAAGTTTGTCTATGTCTAAGGGAAATAAGAGACAAGTCTAGATTTTAAAATGTATTTTTTCATCAGAAAAGAGATCATCATCAAAATAAATATTAAAATTGAGCAAATATGACTAATTTTTAAATAGTTGCTTTTTTCTTTTTTTTTTTTACTTAAACCTTTATTGGTATTTTTCAAAACCAAGAACAGCAAGAACACAAACAGGTAATCTGAACAGATAGCTGTCCAGGTATAGCACCATAAGCTTATAACACTGTTATTAACATATTGATTGTCATTCCAGTCCTCTTTCCTAATTTAGAGTCTTGTAATTAGTAAATTTTTCCTATTTCCTTCTGAATTGCATTCCCTCTAACCTTGAAGTCTATGTCAATTTTTCCATTAAAAAGATTTATTTTACTATGGTCTCTATGCGTACTCTAATACCTCCTGAACTTAATGCTGCTCTTACGTTTCCTGTCTTTCATCACTGGATGAACTGATTAATCCAGGTGTGTCTGGCCATGGTTACTGGCCATGGTTACATGGTTTGTACGCAACATTTGATTGATACCTTGATACCAATAGTGTGTTCAGTTATACTCCTCATGGCAATTTTTTTAGTTTGATGTGTTTTAAATGAATATTCTAGTAACGTCTAACTATTGAGACTGATTAACTTCAACAAACTTATCATTAAAATAAAATCAAGAAAAATAAATAATATGTTAGAAATGGTTAACAAATATTTAAATACAGTAGAAGATTAATTGATATCTCAGCATATAATGCTACGTTCAGACCACACGTGATACACTACACAAGAAGCAGATGCTGGAGTTGGAAAAATTTTATTTTTGCTGCTCGATGTGCCACGTCAACCAATCAGAGAAGCTGATCTGGGAGCTGGGAGGGAGACAGACACAGCACTGCTGATGCAGAGAGCTATGATTACTCCACTGAAACAGTTTATTAATGCCTAAATTAACTTAAATGTCGAAATAAAAGGTTTTTTTTGTTCTGGTCCAACAACGAAATGATATTTGAGGGCATGATCGTGATCTTGATGAACTGACGGCACAGATGAAGTTCTGAGGAGCACTTTCTCATTTAAAAATATTTTAAATCTACTTTTAATCCACTTATAACAGCAAATATATTAAAGCCACTCTCTGCCATTGAATGCAGGGGCAGCAGAAGCATCAGATGGCCATGTACACACTTAAATGGACGCGCATCTTTGACGCTCCTGAAGCACGTTGTTCCTGTGTACAAGCATCAAAAATGAAGCAGCATAACTTTTTTGCTGCTCCTATCACATGTGGTCTGAACATAGCATTGTTTGAAGCCTTTTGATCAATAGTCAAAATGTGTGCTCTAAAATATGCAGCTCTACAGTAACACTGCAAAAACTTTTATAATAATGGTGCTTTCAACATTCATTATATCTGGCCATTTCTTATAGACATATAGTAGCTTTAAGTTATAAACTGTAGAGATATTCAAATATTGGACAACTCCCCACTTGCAATACATTAGTGAAAGGTGTATTACTTCTGCTCTCCACCAGATGGCTTTAAGAGACCATATATTGTGAGTCATAAAGTTTTGCAATAACAAATAGCAACCAGAAGGGGGCAGTAGAGTATCAGAAAAACTGGACTGGGTCTGTGGATTGAATAACTTCTCTTCTCTTCTCTTCTCTTCTCTTCTCTTCTCTTCTCTTCTCTTCTCTTCTCTTCTCTTCTCTTCTCTTCTCTTCTCTTCACCAATACCAAAATGTGAAGAGTATTTTAAGAAAGGAGGTATAACATACCTGTAAATACTTTAATAAACAACACTACATGTGGCTGTTAGTTCTCAGCTAGATTCCTGAAGTAGGAAAACTGGTCAAGTCTGTGCAGTTGATCCAACTTTCTTTAACCTTTACATGGAGAGAAAAAAAATTTCTAAGCCATTGAGAACGTCTAAAAAAGGTGAAGGAGTGAGATGATTCTACTTGTCCTAAAATTTCATAACGTAGTAAGAAGTATTTCCCCTTTGCCAAACCCTTTATTTGTTCCGTTTCTAAAAATGTTACTCTGCTTGTCTAAGAGTTAAAGTTTATCTGTAAAACAAATAAGGACTTTTTTGCATCCGTCATAGCACAGTTGTAATTCAGAGAGGATATAGCACACATAATGAGTGAGTGTTCAAATGTTTGTAAGAAGATAAATAAACTAAATCCTTCCAACAATAGATGTAGTTTCTCTGCCTACACCCGAAAACAAAAGGAAACACTTACAATGTGCTGTGATATAGGAGGGAATAACGTGAAGATGGAAATTCTTTCTCTTGCTCTCAGATTTAGGATTACTAGATTTTAATTTTTAATTTTACATAGAGTGCATCATGCTCACAATGCTGAGGATGAATGATAAAAACTAAGGATCATATTTAAGATGGGTTGAAAGTGAGCCCACGCATGTTTCCATTTTCCCTTCTCATAAGAAGCTTTATCGTCTAGCAGGGACAATAATATATTGAGTAGTTTGCACTTTGTAACTGAAACACTTTGATGTCAGTGGAGCGGTTCTGGTCTTCCCCGCTAACTTTGAGCTGTCTCTTCTGATAGCATCTCTTGCTTGGATTTTTGATTTAAATCCTTTATTATCTACCCTAAAACAAAAAAAATAATTATGCTCAGAGAGATGTTTTAAACAGAAGAAAAACAGCAGAAAACAGAGCTACATTTAACTGAGTATAGTTATTTTACTCTAATCACACTAGGACACGGGAAGCTGTAATTATATCTTTGAGCTGTTCTTAAAAACACTTCCAAATCTGATGTTATTAAACTAAAATCCAGGACGCCCTTCAAAATGATGTGAAACCAAAGTAAAGATTTATTAAAATCCTGAAAATAAATAAATTAAGCATTAATTGCGGCTGCAAATATCTGGTTATGAGTCACTGTATATTCCTAAGTGTGTTTTATCATCCTGCTAATTGTGCATGATGGCAAGACAAATTTGGATTCCTGTCCAGCTTTACTTGGTAAATGCCTGAAAAGTTTTTAATTATTGCTCTTGACCATAGAAATAGTCATGTTTAAATAAGCTTTCCCATTATGAGGAGTTGCCACAAACCTTGCGTTTTGTGTCCTTTTCTACTTTACTAGAGAAGTAGAAGGTAAAGCTAAATAAAAGTTATAAGACAAAATTCTTAGCTGAAAATGTTAAAGATAAATAGCAAAAGTATTTCTGTCTTTTTTTTATTATTTTGCACTTGGAAGATTTTATTTGAACCTATTACAT